ATAACTTAATTAAATAATATAATATTTTTATAATATTTCAAAATTTTTTTCTTATTTTACAAGATAATGACTCTGTTGATTTAATTAAAAATAAAAATAACATATCTTATATTTCCTAATTTATTTTTTCTTTTTTTTTTAATTATATACCTAAATTTTAATTCTAAATTTCAAATTCTCCTACAATTCTACCTTTTTATAAGTGAGTTGTAACTTTATTCTTAAAACCCTACATTCTTGAGTAGCGTGCACTTGCCAAGGTTGTCGTCTTCATTTTGCTGGGTTGTTATCTAGGTTGTCGTCTTCATTTTGCTGGGTTTATTCTTAAACACATAATATGGGTGTTGACACCATGGGTTAATAGTCAAGAATCAAACTTTCTATTTCTTGTTTTGTGTCGATACGTAATTCAGAGTGTCAGCATTATACGTTCAGTGTTGAATATTCAAGTTTCTTATTCTTTTTCAAATCCTACTTCTATTTCAATTAGGATTTCTAAAACCTTATAAATACCCATCCAAATTCAGAATTAAAAGAGCTTGGGAGACTGGTGGCAGCTCTCTTTTGGGTATTATTGGAGATCGAGATAAAAATTTAAGAATTTGTTTATAATTTCTAAATCTTTTCAATTTTTACAATTATAAAATAGTATAAGAATTTGTTTATAATTTATACTTTTTTTAATTATGTTTCTATTTATTTGGATATTAACTTATTTTATATTTATGTTTTTTTACTTAATGTTAAATTTATTTACATTATCTCATATATTTAATAGTGTTAAAAACCGATCAATCCAACCGAATCACACCGATCTGATTTAAATTGGATTGGTTTGGTTATCATATAATAATGGATTAGATTGGTTTAAAAATTTTACTAACCGATTAAATTGGATTAGATTAAAAAATATTAAAATTCTAACCAAACCACCCCTAATCATATATACGGTGAATCACATTTATGGCCCAGCGGTAAAGGTTCAATAACGCGGCACTCGAGCATTAACATTAATAATCCCCCATCTCCTAGATATATAATTATAATGTAATTATCTTATTAAAAAAAATTAGCGTATATATCACATGTGACTTTGCACTTGGGTAAGATTAGAAGACCACAGGTTTCCCAAAAGGGATTCATCAAGTCTTTTATAATGGTATTTTAAAAGTGTAATTTATTTTATAAATTTATGTAAATATTTTTAATAAAATAACATAAAAAATAATTTTACTAAAGGTATTTAAATAAATTTATAAGGTAAATTAAACGTTTAATGTTCAGTCCACCCTAAAATATACTTTT